AAAAAAAAAAAGCAGGTACAGTGGTACATGCCTATAATCCTAGCATTCAGGAGGCTGACGCAATATGATCACCCTAAGCTTGAGGCCAGCCTGGGCTACAAAGTGAGCCTAAACTACATAGTGAGATCCTATCTCAAAAAACAACACTAATAAAACCAAAAAAAAAAGAAATATATTGTCAAATACAGAGTGTGTGCACTGGGTGTGGTGGCACACACCTGTAACCCCCTGCCTCAAGTTTGAGTCCAACCAGGACTATATAGTGAGTTGGACACTAGTCTAACTATATAGTGAGACTGTGTATCAGAAAAAAAAAGAAACTTCAAAGGTACGTCAAAGACAGATGAACTATTTCTTATCCTATAAACAAAACATGCTTCTCTTTTCGTCTCTTCCTCTACCCAACCCCCTGTTGCCTTTGCCATCTTCCATGACAATGAACTATTTCCCCTCTGCCAAGTGCCACCCTGCCTGGAAGCTGGTGGATTATGACCTAAAACCTGTACCAACTGTGAACTAAATAAATCTTTCCCCTAAAAAGAAAAAAATTAAAAAACAAAAAAAATAAAAATAAAAAATGTGCTGAAGTTCATATTAGAAGTACAAATAAAAAGATAACAATAACAGGAATCAGGGTAAAAAATCTTGTGTATATGGGAAGGGGATCTAGAGATGGTGGAAAAGGTAAGGACAAACAAAAAGAATTAAGACATTACCAACTCCACATGACAATCATTATGCACTACTAGTATGAACTAACTAAAAAAAGTGCCAGGCATGTTGACACATACCTGTAATCACACTGCTCTGGAGGCTGAGGAAGGAGGATCATTTCAAGTTTGAGGACAGCCGGGGCTACACAGTGAGTTCAAGGCCAGCTTGAACTGCATAGCAAAACCATGTCTCAAAAATGTAAAAATTAGGAAAAAAATAGGGCTAGAGAGATAGCTCAGCAGCATAAGCACCTGTCTGGCAAGCGCAAGGTCTTAAGTTTGATGCCGGGTACCTTAAAAATTAATAAATTAATTTAAAAATGAAACTAAAATGAGCTGGCTGTTGTGATGATTTATTTACCAGGTGTAGTGGCAAACATGGATAATCTCAGCACATGGGAAGCTGAGACAGGAGAATCATTATGAGTTCAAGACCACCCTGGGCTACAAAGCGAGCTCAAGGCCAGCCTGACTATAGAGTCCCTGTCTCAAAAATCTCAAAAAAAAAAAAAAATTCAAAGCTATATGTACCTTATTCTAAAAACCTTTGGGATTACAAATTCCAGGGCAAGGGCTGGCCAGATAGCTCAATGGGCTAAAGCGTCTGCTTAGGCAGAGCATAGTGGCCAGCAGCCAGGTTCAATCCCAGGCAGGCCAGGCCAGCCCCACCACCAGGGTGTGCTGAGATGGTGACTGAGACTGGGTGTGGTGGCGCACACCTGTAATCCCAGCCCTGAGGAGGCTGAACACAGGAGAATCACTACAAGTCCGATCTACGTGGTGAGACCCTGTAGACCCTGTCCTAAAATACATTAAAAAAAAAAAAAAAAATTCCAGGGTAGTTACAAACGAGTGACTACTTGCAATGGATTACATGTTGGACTACTGAAATCCTAATCTACAACATGATGCCGTGTTTAGAGATGAGGCCTTTGGAGGTCATCAGATCTGAGGGTGGAAGCCCTCACAAAAGGATTTGTGCTGTCATAAAAAGACCATACTTCTGTGGTCCCTACTCTGTCATGTGAGGATACAGGAAGTCAGCCATGTCATCTGCAAGCCAGAAGAGGGCACTCACAGGGCGTGACCATACTTGTACACTGACACAAACTTCTAGCCTCCAGAATTTCTGAAATGTAAGTCTGTTTTGTACAAGCACCCCAGTTTGTTACTGTGTTACAACAGCCCAAAAAAGGTTAAGAAAGTATTAAAATAGTATTATATAAACACGGATTTGGGCTGGGGAGATAGCTCAGTAGAGCAAGTGCTTGCCTAGCAAGCACAGAGTCCTGAGTTCAATTCCCGGTACCACAAAAAAAAATAAAATTAAATAAATAAATAAATAACCATACATTTCCCTTGGTTAAATTATTTTACTAGGCAAATCTGACTTTTTGTAAGATAGAAGTTCCATCGTGATTAAATGGTTCTTATCAGAGCCGGCCACATATATATATATATATGTGGTTCTTACCTCCAGCCAGCATGGCAGTAAGCACTATTCCACAGGACCAAACATCAACTGGTTCTGCGTGAAATTCCTTTCTCTTCAGAAGTTCTGGAGCAACATAAGGTAAAGTACCACACATCTTGTTCAATAAACGCTCACGATTATTATGCCGAAACACAGTAGCCAAGCCAAAGTCAGAGATTTTGAGGTTATCTACACAAAAAGGAAAAAAATGAGCACTGAATAATAAAATCTGCAAACTGATACATGCACAGAAACTAGGTTTCACTGGAAATATTGGTTGGTGGTGTTTCTAGACTCTTCTACCTTGAAAGATCCAACAGGAATTTTTTAATTTAAAAAAAAAAAAGTAAAAGATGTCACCCACACAAAAACTTGGAAAGACATCTTCATCTTTTCTCTTAAAGAGAAATACCATGAACACACAAACAATTTGCATGAGGTTAATGAAAGATACTGGAGTCAGCAGGGGCTGCCCTGCTAGAAAAGGACACTACAAACTTGGGTTGAAAGAAGACAAAGCCCTTCGTCAAGAAGTGTGAAGGGTAGCAAGGAGACTTAAGTAACACACGGCACAACTTTCACAAGCAGCAAACAAACTCAATTGGCAAGACAGTTGTTAAGACAAGTATGTTAAGATGTTTCAAACTGGAGGTTCAGAAACTGTGACTTCTTGTCAAAGTAGCTACATGGGGGATTGAAAAATGCTACACAATAAACAAACCAGAACAAAAAACTTTCACTTACCTTCCCCTCTTCAGCATAAACAAAGTGCAGGCAAGACTTTCAACTTATACTTAGTACATGTCTACTGTACCCAAGAGACAGATGTTATACAAGCCAGGGTAGAAGATAGGAGAAACCCTCTGGCATCAGAGAATGTCAATAGCTACAATCTAGTCAGAGGCCAATTTGGCTGAACAAAATTTGATATAGTCACTCGATGGAACTAGCAATTCTCACTTGTAGAGTCATAATCACAGAAATGAACTCAAGGGCCAGACAAATAGCTCAGCAGATTAAAGCATCTGTAAGCAGGCACAGGGGCTGGGGTTCCATCCCCGGGTCGGTCCCCAGGGCGTGCTGAGACAGTGAATGAGACTGGGTGTGGTAGCAGGAGCCTATAATCCCAGCACTTGGGAGGCTGTAAACAGGAGAATCACTATGAGTCCCATATAGTAGCGAGACCCTGAACACCCTGTACATGCTTCCCTAAAATACAGGAAAAAAAAAA